ACAGAATGGGCTCAGGAATACTTCCAGAAAGCATTGTCAGTGAACACAATCCACCGTGCCATCCGCCGTTGCCAGCTGAAACTCTACAGTGCAAAGAGGAAGCCATTTCTAAGCAAGCTCCACAAGCTCAGACGTTTGCACTGGGCCAGGGGTCATTTAAAATGGAGTGTGGCAAAATGGAAGACTGTTCTGTGGTCAGATGAGTCACGATTTGAAGTTCTTTATGGAACACTGGGACGCCATGTCATCCGGACCAGAGAGGACAAGGATAGCCCAAGTTGTTATCAACGCTCCGTTCAGAAGCCTGCATCACTGATGGTATGGGGTTGCATGAGCGCTTGTGGCATGGGCAGCTTGCATGTCTGGAAAGGCACCATTAATGCAGAGAACTATGTTCAGGTTCTAGAACAACATATGCTCCCATCTAGACGTCATCTCTTTCAGGGAAGACCCTGCATTTTTCAACACGATAATGTCAGACCACATTCTGCAGCAATCACAACATCATGGCTACGTAGGAGAAGGATCCGGGTACTGAAATGGCCAGCCTGCAGTCCAGATCTTTCACCTATAGAGAACATTTGGCGCATCATAAAGAGGAAGGTGTGACAAAGAAGGCCCAAGATGATTGAACAGTTAGAGGCCTGTATTAGACATGAATGGGAGATCATTCCTATTTCTAAACTTGAGAAACTGGTCTCCTCTGTCCCCAGACGTCTGTTGAGTGTTGTAAGAAGAAGGGGGGATGCCACACAGTGGTAAAAATGGACTTGTCCCAACTTTTTTGGGATTTGTTGACGCCATGAAATTTGGAAACAACAGATTTTTCCCTTAAAATGATACATTCTCTCAGTTTAAACTTTTGATCTGTGATTTGTGTTCTATTCTGAATAAAATGTTAGATGTTGGCATCTCCACATCATTGCATTCAGTTTTTATTCACAATTTGTTTAGTGTCCCAACTTTTTTGGAATCCGGTTTTTATAAACTTGTTTTTTGCTCCCATTTTTCATGAGTGGAACTCGAAGAGCTAAGACTTGGCATTGTGCTGTGTAATAAAACTGCACATTTTAGAGTGACCCTTTATTGTGGGCAGCCTAAGGCACACTCTAACCAAAGGGCATCCAATGACCGTGACTCCAGTACTGGTGACCCACTGCAGGGTCCTCCTATCTGCACCAGAGCAGGCATCAGACCACACAGATACACAGCATATCTGCTCCGTCTCTACAGTGGAACGGTTAAAAGACTCCAGCAGTTTCTCCTCTAGATGATTCCTCCTCAGCACTTGCAGGAAGTGGAGTCTCTGCTGGACCTTTTTGAACAGTGTTGTGTTGGCTTGACCAGGTGAGGTCCTTCGGGATATAGGTTCCTAACTTGAAGGAAACCACCCTCTTCATTCAAAGCATGCAGATGGTCAAAGGAGTGTGGTCCCATCTCTGCTTTCTGAAGGCCAAAATCATCTCCTTGGTCTTGGTGGGGTTTAGCTCCAGGTTGCACCACTCTGCCAGCTTTAAAATTAGCTTTTCATAGCAACTTTTCACCAGCTGTCTTTATGTCTACCTTTAAAACACTGAACACAGTATTCAACACTTGATTACAGAACCTGTTTGTCTGAATACTCATTGCAGTATTTTAAGTGTTATAATTAACTTCATTACCTTTAATAACACACACTTCTCAACTTGAGCTTTTGCTCTTCTGCACTCATGTTCCAACGTTTACCCTCAAGTCTGCCTTCTTAAAACATGGGTCACAGTTGGAGCCAGTTTATTAATGAGTTTTGTTTGAGAAATATTTTAAGTGAAATTTTAAAAACTTTCAAACTGATAAGTTTGACATGAATTAAAATTTAAAAGCAGTGCAATTAATTGCAATCAAAGGCTTAATAAACTATTAACAAATTACCAAGTCATTCTGAAATGCAGACGGTCCAGAAGGAGAAACTTTGAAAGTTGTTTGATTCATTACGTTTATTTGAACTCAAATGGACTGAATATCACATCAGCTTTTGAATTTTTCACTACAAAGCACATAGCAAACTTAAATACCCATATGTTAATTATCAAAACATAAACAGAGTACTGAGTCATTCTTACATGACACCAGATTAAGAAGAATAAACAGGCAACATTTATAGCAGAGTATTGGATGGTCTTTCAAGAAGCTTAAAAATACCTTTCTGTAAGTAAACGAATAAACGATAAAACTAGAGGACATCATGTCTGAGGGTGTTTTAAGAATTAACTTAACTTGTAGCTTGTTGGAACTGTACACCGTCTTGCTTTTAGCTGCCACATTTTCATTTTAGTTTCCATTTTAAATAAATATTTGGATTATTTTTCAGTTTTTCATACATTTTAAAGATAACAGTAACTCAATTAGACATTTGCAGAACGTTGTAGTTTGCAAACATACCCACACCAAATATTTCCATTTTCTTGCCTTTTATCCTGTAATTTATATTTTAAGTGTAATAATTCTTACAAGGTTGAGTGAGGTCCTCTATGCCTTTGTGCACTGATGATCAGCTGTTAGATTGATGGTCTTCCTTTTGCATGTAAACTAATTTTGGACGTCACCAGCAGACTGGTTGATCCACTATGAGAAGATGCTATTTATAAGACTGAGTTTGTTGCAGCTCCTCAGACTGAAGAAGTGTTTTGGATAAAAGACAAAATGTTTCAACAAAGAAGAATCCGTCCAGAGGACTTCTTAACCGCGTTAGATTTATCCACCTGGATTATTGAGCAGCATCAAGACATTGTATTAATAATAATAGACTAACACAAATACTACAGATTAAGTTAAACGAAGGGCAACCTTGTTTTACATTTTTAATAAAACATGAATCTAAAAAGTTGTGCATGAACATCTCTTTCCCCCTGTTTAGTTTGAAGCCTCAACCATTACCTTCAAAAACCCCATATTTAGTTAAATCGAAACTGTCTGGTATGATTTAAATATTCCTTAACATGAACACCTGTCCACACCACTTTGACTTTATTAGTTTTCTGGTAGTTTTCTATACTAATCCTGCACACGTCACATCGTCGTTTAAGTCTCATCAGTCAAATATGTCTAATAAGTTGGAAAAATATATAAATACGTTGCTTTGCCATATAAGTTGCATCTATTATGCATCAATGTTGACGCGTCACGTTTGTTACACATCACTGCTGACAACCCGGAAATGTGGGCTGGTGTTGTGCCAAAAATTGATTGGCTGCCAAATGGCGATCACGGGAGCGTGCATGGGAGGCGTTTAACAAGAATTTAACAAGATTAACACTTAAAAACAATTATTTGTTTGTTCAAAATTATAGTAAAGGTGTGTCTCAGTCTAACTTTTCCTTAATAAATGCACTTGGACAGTCAAATCAGCTGCATTTCAAAAATATCCACAGCCTCGGTGCTCTGGGAGCACTGTATTGAACGCTTTTTGAATCCAGGAGCACGCAGACAGGGAAGAAATCAGGAATGAGGACCACTGCGCATTTATTCAAAATTTAACAAGATAAGCACCTAAAACAATTAGTATTTGTTTGGTCGACATTATAGTAAATTTGTGTCTCAGTTGAACTTTTACTTAATAAATGCACTTCAGTGGTCAAATTAGCTGCATTTCACCGGGGCGGCGAGGCGAAATGAAGCTGATTTGACGGTTGAAAAAGCTGGACGAAGGTAGCAGGCTGTGGCAAGCTGGTTGTGTCATTAATAGCCACTTTTACCTATTACATGACACAACAGCATGCCATACTACTCGAGTGCCATCTAGCGGCTGAAAATGGTAGTGTTCAGTACCAAAAAAGTCCATGCTCAATAATCCAGGTATACAATCCAACATTTTTCAGTTTGGTCATCTGGACAGTTTCTTTTTTTGCTGAAACGTTTCACCTTCCATCCGGAAGCCTTCATCAGTCTTCATCAGGACTTTTTTGGTTTTGAACCAGTTTGACATGGCTGTTGACGAGGAAGAGGGCCGGCTCCAGAGGAGGGGGTGTGCCAAAGACACCATCTTAGCACCAACATAACTGCTTTGTTCCACTTTGGAGTAAGCTGTTTGGGGGAAGAATTAGTTTTGTGTTGTGTATTTCCTTGACTGATGAAGCCTTCTGGATGGAAGGTGAAATGTTTCAGCAAAAAAATAAACTGTCCAGATGACCTGACTCAAAATTGTTGGGTAGTGTTCAATATTTTCAATGTCAGAATGAATGAAAACAGTCATATCTCAGCCAAAAATTGGTGTATAAATATGGGGGAAAAAAACATAAAAACATTGCTTCGGTGTATAAGTCGCAGGGCATGCAAATTATGCAAAAAACTATGACTTATAGGCTGAAAAGTACTGCAGATCTATAACACACAACTGTTTTACATCTGTTTATTCAGAGCTCATGAAATATTCTTTAAAAAATTCTCACTTAGGGAAGAAACATTTGAGTAGTTCTGTTAAGTGGTAGACTATTGGCTTAGAAAGTACTTTATCTTTTAAATGTTTGTTCTTTTTGTTTAATTGCAGAAGAACTTGAATACAAGCAAGTTTTCTTGAAGCCCACTGCACACTTCTTCTCTTCGCTGGGCTCCCAATGTTTACCCTCAGAGGCTTCCACTGCTCCACAAAGCCTCCCCGACCTCAGTTCTCTTCATTATGGTTCTGCAACCAGCTGTTCTGATGGCTCAAGCAGCCACAACCACAGAGAGGTCAAAGGTCAGCCTCTCACTGGAGTGGACCTTCTCTCCTCTGTGGACCGTAGGCCAACGAAAATCTCTGCCCCTCCCTGTCCAGACAGATCTCTGAAGCCAGTGTGTGACCTTGTGAATGATGCAAGCTCGGCCATCTTGACCAACAGCCACGATGCCTTCAGGGAACTGGACATGGCAGAGCAGCAAATGGAAGAGGAGGCACTGCTCGTGGACTTTACTAGCCCTGTGATCACAAAGGAGAGCCCAGGTGACGGCATAGGTGCTGCTTCAGAAGAGCAAACATCTGCAGGGTCAGATGAGCTGCTTGGTTTGAAACCTCATGAACAGAGCGGTGGATACTTTGCTTCTCTCAGTCTGCTGGACGTTATTCTTCCTGCAGCAGTGGAGAAAAGTTCTGAGCCCACAGATGAATTACCATCAACTAGGACCTCCGAGTTAGTTGTTGAAGCAGAGAGTGTCAGAGAAGAGACACCTTGCTTGAACCAGGTTGTAGAGAGCTCTGTAGACCACCATGAAGCGAAAGATGTAGGCAACATTAAAGAAGTGACTTCAGTGAATAAAGAGTTGCCAAATGAGGCATTTGATGAATCTGTACCCGATTCCACCGAAGATGTAAAATGTGAAGCCTCAGACAGTGAACCGGTCCGCTTGTCGTGCCTGCCGTTAGCTGTTTCAATGTGTGGAGCTCTGGTAAACCCAAAGAGCAGAGAAGATTATTTGGAGGCAGCTTCAGAGCAGTGTGAGGCAGATGTTTCTGAGAGCAACAAACCAGACTCCCTGTCAGCCTTGGAAGCAAAGGACTCACCCAGGGACTTCATCAGGGAGGGAAGGCCCTGTTTAGACAACTCTGCTGATTCCAACCAGATTTCAGAGCACAGACTGTCTCCAGAAGGGCAGCATGTTCCTCCTGAATCTGCTGCTGTTTGTCCTGCAAACCTTTCTTCCTCTGTTTGCTCAGAACCCAGCCCAGAGGATCTCCCTGAATTCGGTTTTGAGTATTTGCCAGAGAGCGACCAGGCTGAGCTTCTGGTTACTGATGAGGAACTGGATGCCTTTCTTCAGGCGCATGCTGAAGCAGAACAGGGGGCAGGTGTTTCTTATTGCTGCAGTCCTAGAGATGATGCTCAACCTCAGTCTCTCTCGGAGGCGGATGGAGTTTTAGAGGAGCAGAAGCCACAGAGCTGTGGTCAAGATGGGCAGAACTGCTTGGAAGGATTGGCCTCACCAGAAAGTGACAGAACATTTTTTTTGTCTGCACAAGGAGGTTTTAACTCTGGCATTCCATCATTGTCCCAGGACTCTAGCAGACCATGCCATGAAGACTCCTCTGAAGTTACCTGTTCTTCAACTAGCAACCCTTTCCAGTCCCAGCACAATAGTAGCCCTGATCAACAGCCCTCATACGGAGGTGCCAGACCTAAACGACCACAATGCCAAGCTGCAAAACCTTCTCCAGCAGAGGAGGAAGGGAAAGGGCAGGCTCAGGCCCTCAGTGCTTCTTCAACACCAGAGGATGAGGACAGTTTGACTATAACCCCAAGTCCTATAGAGGAACATTCCAACTTCAGTAATTCCTGCCATGCAAACCCGATTCAAGATCAGGATTTTTCTGTGGGCTTTGATGAACTCTCAGAGCCACCACCATACCCCGGGGAACAATCTGCAGATGCTGTCAGGCCAGTGAACTGGAAGAGGGAAGGAGTGGAGGAGCTGGGGAGCAAACAGCCCAAGTGGGTACCAGACTCTGAAGCACCCAGTTGTATGAACTGTGAGCAAAGATTCACTTTCACCAAAAGGCGACATCACTGTCGAGCCTGCGGGAAGGTACGTTTATTTAATTCACTTTCAAAAACTTCTCTTTGCTGTTATGCAGACTGAACAATTGTGAACATCTGGAAGCAGCTGTAAATACAGCAGCAAGTTTTCTGACAATAATCAATAATGGCAGCATGTGAAGTTGCCTTGTTTATTATGAGTGGGACTTGCTTGTTAACAGTGTCATGCATCTCATTATTTACCTCTCCATTTTCATTCAACCTTTATATAGACAGGTTAAAACCCCATTGAGCCTCGAGGACTCAGTTACCAGAGAGACCTGAAGTTTTCAGTTTGTTATAAACGCACGTAGCTGCTTTGTATTAAATACAACCAGTAGATCAAAGTGAAATTCAGACAGCTATCTTTAAAATCTGAAAATTTTATTTTTCTCAGATTTAGTTGAATCAGTTCTGGGGCTAAATATTTTGTTAAACAGTCACATTAATGTTTCCCCACTTCAGTGGACAAAGATGCTGTGGTCATATCTAACGGTGAATGCCAATGCCATACTGTGTGTGAACCCAACACCTTTCATTATGCTGAGAATACCATCACGGCTTTGAAGCATGGTGGTGGCAGCATCATGCTGTGGGGTATAATTTTAGTTTGCAGCTAAAGCAATACTCCAGTGGTTTAAGAAGAAATGCTTTAGTATCCTAGAATGGACCAGTCAAAGCTTAAACCTCAGTCCAATTGAGATTTTTTTTTCTATTTAAAGATTGCTGTTCACAAGCAGCAAACATCCAACATGAAGGAGCTGGAGCACTTCACTCTTGAAGAATGGACAGAAATGCCAGGGACTAGATGTGCCAAGTTCATGTAGATATACCCGACTTGCTTATTTTCTCTTCTTCTTTCGGCTGCTCCCTTCTTCAGGGGTCGCCACAGCAAGCAAACTCTCACGAAAGATTTGGCATTTGTTTTGCACCAGATCCCCGTCTTGACACCATCTGGGCTCGAACATGCAACCTCAGGATTACAAGACCGCGGCACTGACTAAACTACCGCAGCTTTTTTAAAACAACTACTCATTTAATTTCATTAATTTGGAGTAATTTGTCCAGATTTACTACATATCGATACTTAATGTCAATCTGGAAATGTACAAAAATTTTAGATTGTGAGGCAACAGAAAGAAGGAATACCAAAATATTTTAGCAACTCCCCTGTAAAAAACAAAAAAATCTTTCAGTAACAAGTTAAATGGTTTATGGTTTGTTTCTAGTGCAGTATAGTCACTATAGTTTATTATCATTAGTCAGATTCAGTAGGTTTATTTGACATTCAATTCAGTTTATTTATATAGCGTCAAATCACAACAAAGTAGTCTCAGGGCACTTTACAGAAACATTCAAAAACATAAAAGCCAATTAGTAAAGGAAGAAACCTCCAGCAGAACCAGGCTCAGGACAAGCGGCCATCTGCTTTGACCAGCTGGTTGAGAGGACAGGAAGGAGAGACGGATGAGCACAGAATGGTAGGTCCAGGTCCAGATATGGGTCCAGGTGTATCTGAAAGACAAAAAGAACATGTTAAGGACAGAAAAAATAATTACAAATACAAACCAGATTCCAAAAAAGTTGGGACACTAAACAAATTGTGAATAAAAACTGAATGCAATGATGTGGAGATGGAAAATGTCAATATTTTATTCGTAATATAACATAGATGACCGATCAAAAGTTTAATCTGAGTAAATGTAACATTTTAAAGGAAAAATATGTTGATTCAAAATTTCACAGTGTCAACAAATCCCAAAAAAGTTGGGACAAGTAGCAATAAGTGGCTGGAAAAAGGAAATTGAGCATATAACGAACAGCTGGAAGACCAATTAACACTAATTAGGTCAATTGACAACATGATTTGGTATAAAAAGAGCTTCTCAGAGTGTCAGTGTCTCTCAGAAGCCAAGATGGTAAGAGGATCACCAATTCCACCATTGTTGCGCAGTAAGTTAGTGCAGCAATACCAGAATGGTGTTACCCAGCATAAAATAGCAAAGACTTTTAAGTTATCATCATCAATCGTGAAAACATCATCAAAAGATTCAGAGAATCTGGAACAATTGCTGTGCGTAAGGGTCAAGGCCGTAAAACTCTACTGGATGCTCGTGATCTCAGGGCCCTTAAACGTCACTGCACCTCAAACAGGAATGCCACTCTCAAGGAAATAACAGAATGGGCTCAGGAATACTTCCAGAAAGCATTG